AGTTCGCTCACGCGTGTAAATAATTGTAGAGGGACCGCATATCCCATAGGGATGGAGGCACCGCCTCCAGCGGTGTAAGATCAATAATAATAAATAAAAAATAAAAATAAAAAAATAAAAAACCCGTACCAATGCTATGGAAGCAATTGATCGACGCTGCCGTCAACAATGGGATAATTAGAACGAAGAAGATCGAAGAGGGTTGGAAGCGCGCTATTTGGGGGCAACAGAATGAACCATCTCATTTACAACAATGCGATTCTAAAATAGGAGGAGTTCTTTCTGTTTATTCTCAAAGAGCACCAATGCCGCCAACGGAAAAAGTTGCTTCAAGAGTGTCATTAATAAAGAACTTAGAAGGTTAAATGGCAAAATTGCGAACTGGAAATGATGAGAATAAGCCGTTTTGAATGTTGGCTGGTTTTAGTTCTTATGGTTTTGTAGTTAGTGAGTGTTAGGGCTGGAGTCTAGTATTTTATAGAGGCAGAAATAATTATGATCTCTGTGCCCTATTTTGATGAGAAGTTTTTTAAGCCCCTTTTGTGGTTGTAAAGGAAGATGATCTTGAGTTAGGCCATGGCGAGGGACATGCAATGGCACAAGGCGCAAAGGACATTTACTCAAAGACCAAGAATACTGAATTGAAGAAGGGAGGAAGGAAGCTGACAGGCTTGCAGCTGGAACCTTTCTCATCCTTCTTATCTAATCTAACTACACGTGACATGACGTCACCAGTGCACGGCTTACGCTGTGACATTAGGTATGTTTTGAAGGAAGGCTTTGAAGCCGGTTTGAAACCCCATTATTTACGTACCCCTAAATACGCATTCCAACCCCTAATAAAAAGTCTTTCACTCTCGGCAGGAGAAAAACTGAATATCCATATACAATCACTACATTATATCATCAATTCTCACCATTTGTTGATCAAGATATTCAGGACATATGGGATAGTCTTGCTGCTTTTCCCCTACTAAAGAAGGGTACAATATAGAGAGGTGTCATAGCCTGGCACCAGATTTAATCCAAAGCCACACAGCATTCTTGAAGTGTTTAGTGAGATGATATTGGACCAACAAGACATAGATCATCGAGCGAAAGAAAACCACATTACTTCAAGGGAGAAAGGAGGCATTGAGAAAGGGGGCAGGCAGTTTTAATAAGATGTGAAAAAAAAGAAAGAAAAATAGAAAGAAAAAAAACAATTGTCTCCGGTCGGATTCGAACCGACGTCTTTCGCTACTTTAAATCATTTCGCTGGGTAAATCAAACGCCGAAGAAAAGCACACAAATGCTAACCACTCCGCTACGAGGACTGTAACTTGGTTGAATTCCAGAGCCCAAAATCTAAAATAAATAGTCCTGGGACACTGACTGGATGGAAGAGTGGTTGTGGTGGAGTTTGTGGCGTTGATAAGGTTAGGGATGGTAAGATAGGAAGGGGGACGGCGGACGGGTTGGTCTAAGGGATACGATATCAAGTCTGTGAAGACTGGGTTGTTGATGACTGAGTGATTTGTATGATCATCTTGCAGTATGGGCCAACTCCCATCTCTCCAACTAACTTGATCACCATCTTTGACCGAGAATACCCGTCAAATATGTGAAACATATCCCCAGATCTCCTCGTTATCATGATACATTGCGCTCGGATGGGGGAGAACAACACATCTTTGTGAGAATATGGGTTACAGTCGTACCCTTGTGAATATCGGGTCCGTTGAACGGTTCATCAACTCGGACCTCATGGATGACCGAAGTCTCACTTGTGATGATTTGAAGAACATGAACTTTGACTCGGTCTGTGCTTGTAAGAATTGTGACACTTTGGATGTATATGATCGACCAATATTACTTAAGCGCTTCAAGAAAACTGGATTCCATCTTGTCGTACTGATCTTGTGTCCAACGCCTGTACTGGGTTACATCCGTTGACAGAAAGCTTCGCCCTGCACGAGGACATAATTCGGACGACTGGCTCACACGTGTGTTTGTCACCTCGTGCAAAGAAAATTTTCACTGTTGAACGTGTTACATTGCTCCTTCCTGACGGCACCGAACAAGCCATCATTTGATGACTTTTACGTAATTACATACCGGTAATTTTCAGTCCGTAGCATCCAAATGTTCAAGATCTTCATTTGCTGAGCTTGTCCAAAAACATGAAGCAATTCTCTTCATAAAAGAAATATTTGATTGATAGATAGACAGATCCAAGTTCTCAACCAAATGATGATATAAAATTACCGTATTTGTCAGTTTAGAGTTTCAGTACGGCAGGGTCAGGGGGTTGAGATGACGCACGGTCCCCACCTGTCAATGCAAGGAACCGGCCTCCACATTCCGATCGGATGCTGGGGGACGGGACGACCCACCTTTAACATCACCTCATGAGATAACAAAAGGATATTCGATTTATTTTTCTTTTAAAAATGCAGATTGATTTTTATATCGTATGATGGATCTCAGCCATAAAGATATTTCCCATTTCACTCCATCATAAAATCATCACCATATTGTTAAACGCCAAGTCATCCTAACTTGGGTGTGATTCATCTGATGGCGAAACCATCACACACGTGCAACAAGCCATGTCACCCGTTGCATAAGCTCCCGGGTGCCGAGGAAGGGTGGTACGCGATTGATCTTCCAAGAAAAATGTCCAAGCTCCGACACGGCACATCTCTCCCGCTTGGTGAATTCTGCAGCTTCTCCCGCATTTGGACACTTACAACGATGACACGGTTGTTTTGTGTCGATCTTCAGGCGGGATCACTGTGTTCCCTTTCGGCTTTTACCCTGACCTCTAGAGTCCGGGGAAGCAACCATGAACATATCTCAGTCATCCTCCCGTCTTGTCTCCAGAAAGTGAACTCTTGAATTCCAAACCAATCCCAAATGAAACAGCTGTCGAGCAGGAAAGCCCTCCGGTTGTCGTTGTTGTCGTCAAAGAACAAGAGGTCTTAACTCCTGGCGAGTTTACCTTTCCATGTCTAGCGTCAATTTCTTTTCGACAGAAACCACTAGGCTATTATTGCCCAGAAACAACAACAACACCGGATCTCACGGCTTCAACAAGAACAAACCAATAGTAGATTATGGAGCACAAATCAACTTTACTATCTGGTTACTCACGGCACTTTCGGCCGCCTTCCTTGCTCTCAGAGTATACTGCAAGTTCTTGAGGCATCGAGGGTTATGGTGGGATGACCATGTTCTCATTGCTTCCTGGGTATGTCCTTTCCTCCATATTGTGATACACCCTCTCTCTCCTTTCCTCCATATTGTGATACACCCTCTCTCTCCTTTCCTCCATATTGTGATACACCCTCTCTCTAACCCGTCCCAGTTCTCCCTAATGTTATCCTGCGCTTTTGTCTCAATTTCAGTAAACCTTGGATTCGGACGATCTCTATCCCTCTTCGATTTTAGAAATCTTGAGCCATATCTCTTGTTTGTCAATTTGGCAGGAACATTTTCCATTTTGGCGGCTCTATGGAGTAAAACGTCATTTGGTCTTACAATTCTTCGAATATCGTCTGGATGGACCAAAGTGGCGGTTTGGTTCATTATCATCACGGTGAATATTGCCCTGGGAGGAGCTATTGCTATTACGTGGGGACAATGCATGCCTATCAACAAGATTTGGCAGCCATCTACGCCTGGAACATGCTGGTCGAAACATCGGCAAGTGAATTACAATATTATCACAGCTGTTTATTCGGGTGCAATGGACATTGTTCTTGCTTTGGTGCCTTGGAAGCTCATTTGGTCCTTGACCATGAATCGGAAGGAAAAGATTGGCGTCCTTGTTGCCATGAGCATGGGTGTGTTGTACGTACCTTTTCTCCTTCCCCTTCCAGGTTCCTTCTTATTTATTTTTAGCTGACCATTCATTCAGTGCCGGCATAACATCAATCATTAAAATTACCCAACTTCCCTCAATTTCTAACAGCACATTTACCGAAGCGACCACGCAATTAATGATTCTCGGTGCCGCAGAGGGTGCAATTGCCATCATTGCATGTTCAATCCCAATTCTTCGCGCTTTATTAAAAGATACCCGTCCCCAACCAGGACCGACTCAATTTTACGGAATGGATTTCAGTCTCTACACCGGCTCGGAAAATTCCCAAGGGACAGGTCGATCCAGCACCGTGATTAGTTCCTCTGGTCATCGACACAACAGGAGTAGAAGCAGAAACCACAGCCGTACCCATACTCGAAACGGGTCGGCGTGGACTAATAAAGAGATGTCAATAGGAAGTGACCCGATACTGAGATTAAGCAAGCTCAGCAGGTTTAGTGGGCTGAGTATGGGATTTTCAACAACAAACAGCGGGTCAGGAAGAAGACCTGGGACAAGAAACGGAATGCATTCGAGGGATGTTAGTGAGTTTTCTGGGAGAGACCCGGACGGGTGGAGTTTGGTCTCGCCGCCGCCCGGGAAGATTGTTCAGACTGAGGAGGTTGTGGTTGAGTTTGAGCCGAATCCTGGCATGGGACCAATTGGACAGGGCTTTCCCCAAGTTACAATGCCCATGAATGTCTTGGGCGCAGGCGCGAGGGGCCATGATAGGTCTGATAGTCAATGGTCTGTTGGGAGGATGGTTTAAGGACTGTCATTACCTGGATACCCGGCGTTTGGATAGGTTACGATAGTTTTTCGGTCCGTTATTTGGTCTTTCAATGAGAGACATGGACATAATTCAGAATCATCAAATATCTTTTTACCATGACGTTGTTGATGTCTTTTGGGGATCTAAATATTGGTCAGGCATATCACATAGGGATGGAGGCACCGCCTCCAGCGGCGTAAGATCAATAAATAAATATTGGTCAGGGATCAGTTTGATGGGGGTCTAGATCATTCCCAACTGGGACTGTTTTCGGAAATGGAGACATGAACCTTCCGTTTTGGAAACATTCCACAACATTTGTATCTGAATCAACATAAACTTCCGGTTGATGATAACCGGATCCGGCCCAAAACATCAAAATTCCTAAGCGGTCTCGGAAAATGACCCGACTCCATGGGTTCCGAGTCTCTGGGTTTGTTTCAAAAGGGACTGTTCGACGTCAAATGAAGAATCTTTCGACTCTGACTTTACGTCTGTCGCGACAAACAGTGAGACAATGAGACTTTGGATACCTCTGCTCGTCGCCATTGTTTACTGGTCTCGGGCAGAAGCAGAACGACTCACTCCTTCACAGGACGGAGGAATACAATGGGATCCATCAAATCGTGATCCAAAGTCACATCGAGGAACAATCAGTTTCAATTCCACACTATCGCCGCGTGAAGGTGTCATATTCCATCCCGACGGAGCACCAGGTACTCTTCAATGTCACTATCCAACCCTCGATCCAGATCTTTGGGAACCATGCAATACCAAAGACAATCGCGCATGTTGGTTGCGCATGAAGAAACCCGACAAGCGTGGAAAACATTATGGATATGACATTCACACAGACTGTAAGTATCCTCCGTCTCATTTATCTGATCGATACTGACTTTTCAGACGAGACAATCGCCCCCGTAGGAATTTCCCGCCACTATACTCTCGACGTCTCCCACAAACTAATCTATCCCGACGGTCATCCCAAAAAAGCCGTTCTCTTCAACGGTACCTACCCCGGTCCCCAAATCGAAGCATGTTGGGGCGACGAACTCGTGATCACAATCATCAATTCCCTCCCCGATATGGGAACCGCAATTCATTGGCACGGAATCCGTCAGCTTTACACAAACGACATGGACGGAGTTCCTGTGACACAATGTCCAATCGCCCGAGGCAAATCTCTCGTCTACAAATTCCGAGTGCTTCAGTATGGGACAACATGGTATCACAGCCATTATTCTTTGCAATATTCAGATGGGTTGTGCGGGCCAATGGTTATTTACGGACCTGCGAGCGGGAACTATGACGAGGAGATAGGAGAGGGAGCGCTGCTGATGAGCGATTGGGTGAGGAATGGCGCTTTTTACGAGTTTGATCAGCAGGCGAAGCCGGTTATAAGGCCTGTTAGGGCTGATACAATCGTTTTGAATGGGAAGGCGGGTATGAATACTTTGAGTAAAGGGGGAGAGGTTGACTCTTATCAGGTTGTCAAGGTTGAGCAGGGCAAAAAGTATCGAGCGAGGGTTGTTAATGGAGCTGCGCTGGCTGCGTTTGTGTTTAGTGTTGATGGGCATGATATCAGCGTTATTGGGAATGATTTGGTGGCTATTGAGCCTTATAAGACTGAATTTGTTGTTGTTGCTGTTGGTTAGTCTTTTCTTTCCCTTCTCCTTTTTACCTTTGCTTTTCCCGCA